AAAGTTCAAAAATGAACCTTAAGAAGGAATGCCTTGTGATCACGCGTGAAGTGCCATACTTCAGGCTGATTCTGTGACCTGCCCCACGCACGTTCGTTGCCTTTGCAATGTAGTGCAATTGTCTCTGCGCCTGCTTTGCACGAATTTAATTAACTGGTGGACTAACAGCGTGTAAGCAGTGGTGTTTAAATGAACTATTTATCATACGAATGCAATTTTATGTGCTAAGTCTTTTCTGCTAAGATTATGAAAGTGTTTGGCCGAGTAGATTGCATGTCAACTTGACACTTTCACACTATGAAGGAAGCGAAACCGCCAAAACGTTGGCTATTCTCTGCTAATAAAATAATACAGTACCAAGGCCGTGTTTACTAATAGAAGAAAAAGAGTGAATCATCTGTGTAGGCACTTTAATTTCTACGGAAAATCATTCTACTAACATTCAGGTATATAATTGGATACTTAGACGGCCCATCTCCATTCGTGATGCGATCTTCACCACAATATTCACTCGCTCCACTCCCGCGCTGGTGTCGTCCACGAAGATAGTCTTCTTCGAACATGATGGCGTTCGCATGTCCCATCGCGTGTTCCTTAAATTTGATCATCTGCAAATGCAGATGGATAGTTGATATTAGCTACGAACATGTTCGCCCATCGCTTGGGTGGTCTTCTAGGACGACGCTTTCATTTTGTCGGAGTCCACCCCACTGTTATTCTTCTCCATTTGTCATCTGTTCTGTGACCGTCCCATCTGTGTTCGGCTATCGATCTATATTCTCCCATATCTCATAAATGAGATAGGTCACAAAGCTCTGGGCTGCTCATTCCAGTCAGGTGTTGTAAGTGCTAGTAAAATTTTAAAAGGTATCGTCCAAACGATCTATGGATCGTGCACAAAGCTCTCAACGCATTTGAAGTGCTAGCCCACGTCTTCTATCGAAAAATTATCATTTAGTGTTAAAGAAGGAGCTAGTCTGTAAAAGCTGAAAATGATGCGCAGCCCCAAGCGGATGAAGTTCGTTAATCGTGGCGGGAGTTATGTATTAAACAAGATAGTTGAAGCCAAGAAGACATTCAATTGAACTAAAATCTTACCTGAAATGACGAAGAAGTGGTCACGATGACAAGGGACCAGCTGTCTCGCTGATAGCACCCATCCGCTGCCGAAGTTGTTTCGTCGGTATTTGTGACACTAACATAATGTCTCTAATGCTCAACACATTTTCACACATCTAAGTGCAATTTGACGAACTATGGTGCAATTGAAATCCCACACATACAACGAGCGTGACGTGCAGGCTTTATGACGTTCGGAACATGTTATTGGCGATGTCGACGCATGAAAAATCATCTATTGCCGATAGCTTTTTAACCACTGAATAGATCGATCAGAGACCGGTACTATCGACTTGACCCTTTCAAGCGCTTGGAGCCTCCTATTATTTTTTCGTTCTTTTGCAGTATTTCAACGTAATTTGTAGGCTATGAACTCTTCGATGAAATTGTAGAGTATTAAAGCAAAGGAGAAAATAAACACATGGAAAAACACCTAAACGTATTCATTTGTCTCCGCTGTTGTTATTTTTTCAAGACACGTGGTTTGGTAGAGTTATGAGTTCATTGAAACCAGAGAGTTACTTTCAAAAATGACACTTGTACGATATTCGAGAAAACTCCACAAACTGTCCCAGCTCGAAAGACGTCGCTTTCGCTTTGGGTTCCGTCCAATGTGCAGCTTCTACTTTGACGCAAACAACATACAGGATTGTAGTAGAAATTATTATACCAGTGATGCAGTAGAATAAAATAGACCACTAAAAGAACTTTCTTCCCGCATAGCATTGTAGCAGGTGAAACTCGTTTCTCCTTGTAAACAGCTTGTACAAAGAGATAGCCCTAAGAGCAAAGAACCTGTTCTTTAGTGTTTTCGGGGACCATCAGCTGTACTCCTCCAGGTAGGAGGATCTGCACGAATCCGGCAATGAACATATTGAAGTTCAGTGCAAAATGTGCGTGCTGAGCACCAATCTAAACAGATTTTAATCAATAACGAGAAGAAAAATCACGGTTACAAACGTCGTATGGCTTTCGAGCTAAATATTAGGGATAAGTCTTTTTTAAGAAAAGTGCCAACGAAAGCAAAAAGATTTGATGTTTTTGTAAAAATGAAACCAACGTACGATTTGTATTGTTCTGCTACAAATAACTGGTACAAAAAAGTGCAAAGATGCAAATAGCATGTTAAAAAACAAAGCCACTCGACGATCGTCTATCTGAATAAACCAATCTGATTAAATATTCAAAAAGTCTTCGAAAACCTAGAAAAGACGTGCTTGTACATAGCCCAATATTTTCGCATGCACTGCCAGACTTTCCCCGAAAACGACCATGAAAGCCAAGCATTTTTCGTTATCTTCTTTTATTAACTATGTGAATTGCTGCTTCCTGATGACATAAGACTGTGCACTTACGAATCCTGTAAGAAATATGGACAGAGCGCTGAAAAACTCCAGAAACACCAGCGGACCAGCCAGTCTCCATTTTGGCCCGAAACAAAGTCCGTGATCTGCAATTTCTGTAAATTTACGTGTACGTATTATATGGTGACCGCAATAAATTTCTTACCAATTAATTTCCCTATGGCCACTTTAATAATAATCGCGAACACCATTGGAATAGCCGAGAAATAACCGGTTTCTCTGATGGAATAATTTAAAACCTTAACAAAAGACTTTCTTTTAGGAATAGTTTTGTTTTTGACCATAATGTTGCTGAATATTTGCAAAACTCCTTTTCAGGGAGATTACGCGTTCACCACCGTACCAACCGAGTCTTTCGTTTCGCCTGAGTCGTGTCTCTCAGCCGTGTTATTATATAAAGACATTATTTGCTTCACCTACTCGACCTGTGCCATTAGCATACCGTCTCACTATCCCCCCACCCCCACTCACACCTACGTGGAAGTGCAAGCTACCTTCCATTCATCTCAATTTGGGTCAATTTCTTGTCGACCGGTTGTTAGTTTGACTTCTCGGGGTGGTATCCTTCGTTGACAACCCCTCAAAAAAAAACGATTTACTTTAAAGTCTGCCTTATAGCCTAACCTGCTTAATAAATGTCGGGCTGTATTGTTGGTAGGTAATCATCCCGACATAGTAGCCAACGAACAACATGAAATTCGTCCAAATCGATAAATCACTCAATAAGTGGCGATACGGTACGGGAGCTTTCTCTGTTACCGCCTTACGACCTTCGATTATCTTTTTTGCTTCATCTTCTGAGACGAATCTATAAATACAAGTGTTATTTCATAAACCGCTCATCATGTAATCTCAGTATTAGTAGTTAATACCTTCTTGGATTAGTAAGCGAACAAGAGGTTGATAAAATGATCTGAGATAGACAGAAAAGTTGAAATGTTAGCAGAATAAGACCTTTTATCAACCTCGTGTTTATAAGTGTTAATAGCTGAAGAATGTCGAAATTGTACGATTATTTGTAGTTGTTTGGTTCATCACTACGGGCATCGCAGCTCCTGTGAACCAGAGGGAAATTTACCACCGTGCGACTAGTTTGATACCATGACGGTGGTCGATACTGGTATTGGTTTCCTCTTAGCTACGCTTCTTCATGGAAAAACCGGACTCCTCTACCTCAGAGACCCTGCTGTGGGAATGAATCCCTCAGTTGTAGACCGCAGACCGACACCTAGGAACACCTCCTAGCCGCGATGAGGAGGTAAACCGTTAGGAGGAACATTAATTTTAACAAAGATGAAATAGATAGATTTTTCCTTTACTGAAACCTTTAAAAATATGGAGCGCTGAGCATTTTGTAGAGTTCAAAACTTGCAACCCCACAATATTAAGGCTTTCATTGGAGCTATGCGGCAGCTTTGAAGTTGTTGTTAGTTCACCACCTACTCTGAGGAATTCTTCAACGTAAAGAGTGCTTACGAAAGAATGAAAGAAAAGTGCAAATAAAGCAGAAAACGAGTGAAAATTCTAGATAATATTCTTGATGATATTTTAATGGAGGAACTGGAAACGTAACTAAGCCAAAGTTACTCCAGATGGAAAAGAACATTTTATGAAACAGCTGCTTCCTTTGATTTGGTTCACCTGTTTTTCTCAACGTTATCCGAATAGATGAAACTATACGCCAGAGTAGTGACCAGAGTGAGAAAGCCAAGTGTGTAATAAGTTGCCTAAACATGAAAGTGCTTCCTTTGCACGTTTTTTGTATTAGGTGGTTGTTATTACCATTTTTTATTACTGCTACTTCAATTGTTCATGCACCATTCATCAAAATATCTATCGAATTGGCTCCGATCTGTGTGGGAGACGGTTTTCCAACAAATAGGCTTCAGGTCTTCCTTTAAGGAATTTGTGGCTCCACACAGCTTTTGAGGAAAAATTAAGCGATATGCATTGGCTCTGCTCTCGTACCGCCAATAGTTGTAAAAATAATAAAGCTCGTGCTAAAACTATAACTTTCTGCGTCCTCCTCAAACGAATGAATTCTACTAAGTACTTTGGGGGACGATAGGGACCTATGAATTTGCTGGGATCGCATCGGGTCAGTCGAAGCGAACTTGATCGCGGGTGGGCTAAAAAACATTGTTTTATTGCAAGTTGCAAGTGTAAGTATGTGACAAACCTCCCATCCTAATGGCGACGAGCACATTTCGCCACCCAGAATCATTGTAAATAAGGGCCCGATCTGAAGAGAAAAGTCGCCGCATATTGTCTAACATACAGTTTCGCTTTTCTTAAGCAAATGAATTTCGACCCGACTTTGTAGCAAAAATTTTGTACAACAGAAATAGAGAAAACCTGGGATGCTGCCAGTAATATGGAGAAAAACAGCGACGCTTCCTTTTGCATTGCCCATGTCAATACCACTTCATTGGTGAAGTGCAGTTGAGCGGCTTGAGCAAACCCATGAAATTGGAAATCTCTATGAAACAAGGATGTGCCTCATACTGTAGGAAAATTAGGCCACGATCAAAGAAATAGACCAACCGAAAAAACATTATGCAAAAAAGAATGTAGCCGAGCCCGTAGAGTACAATTAACCGATCGAAGTTGGTTAATACGGTAGTAGCCTTACTACTTTCGAATGAAACACTTTTCCTAACTTACATGGTTACAATAACACAAGAAGGCATGCATGTATGCCACCGTGAAATCTATCCAGACATTATGCCTTTTATTTTCTGCCCACTACAATTTTCACGGCAGGGTACTAAGCGAAATACAACCACAACATTGCTGAGATATTTGCAAAACTCTGGACCGCAGGTGTCTATGGTGTGGAACGAACGCGCTGTTGTCTTTTCCGGGGAGTAACGCGTTCACCACCACACCATGCGNGTGTATATCTGACCTTTACAATGACTCGCGGTGGCCTACCGATGTATCGAGTCAGCGCTGCTGTCCTACTCGACAAGTCCGGTACCAATTTTCCGACCTTGGAGGGATGGAAGGCTTAGTGAGCTATGGGCTCGTGGATCGATTTAAACGCGTGTGTTGCAAGGCGCCTGTGGCCACTGTGCCACACGAGTCCTTTGAGCTGTAGACCATAACAACACCTACTAAAAAGCAGCAAACATATAATTCATACCCAAAAAGCAACAAACGACGGTCTCTTCTATGTTCACATCTCTTAAGCCTTTAGTTTTTGAAAACTGTTTCTTATTGTCAAAAACCAGGAAGTTCGCAGCTGACGAAGAATTGTATGCCTCCATTGGGCTAGGCACACAAAGGCCGGCATCGTGCATATTTCCGGTGCTCTGGTCAACCGAGATAGCTTACCACACTCCTCACCAGCTACAATCTATCACCGCGGGAAGCCATTAGTCCGACAAACTCGTCCGAAAACAGCTGCTTTGTAAATTACAGTGGTAAAAATCTCTTTTCCGTGACACAATAGAACATCTTCACGGCATAAACTAGTGATTTAATGGGAAGATATGGCAAGAAGCTTTAAGCGACATAGGAAACAGGCAGAAAGCGAATGAGTCTTGTATAACTCATGCCGCTATTCATGCGTAAAATCTACGATAAAAGGGCGAACTTTATTGTCTAGACAGAACGTTGCTGAAACATTTGCGAAACTCTGGACCGCAGGTGTTATGCGATAGATAGGTGAAACGAAAGGTTCGCATGGTGTGGTGGTGAACGCGTTACTCCCCGGAAAAGACAACAGCGCGTTCGTTCCACACCATAGACACCTGCGGTCCAGAGTTTTGCAAATATCTCAGCAATGTTGTGGTTGTATTTCGCTTAGTACCCTGCCGTGAAAATTGTAGTGGGCAGAAAATAAAAGGCATAATGTCTGGATAGATTTCACGGTGGCATACATGCATGCCTTCTTGTGTTATTGTAACCATGTAAGTTAGGAAAAGTGTTTCATTCGAAAGTAGTAAGGCTACTACCGTATTAACCAACTCCGATCGGTTAATTGTACTCTACGGGCTCGGCTACATTCTTTTTTGCATAATGTTGTTTCGGTTGGTCTATTTCTGTGATCGTGGCATAATTTTCCTACAGTATGAGGCACATCCTTGTTTCATAGAGATTTCCAATTTCATGGGTTTGCTCAAGCCGCTCAACTGCACTTCACCAATGAAGTGGTATTGACATGGGCAATGCAAAAGGAAGCGTCGCTGTTCTTCTCCATATTACTGGCAGCATCCCAGGTTTTCTCTATTTCTCTTGTACAAAATTTTTGCTGCAAAGTCGGGTCGAAATTCATTTGCTTAAGAAAAGCGAAACTGTATGTTAGACAATATGCGGCGACTTTTCTCTTCAGATCGGGCCCTTATTTACAATGATTCTGGGTGGCGAAATGTGCTCGTCGCCATTAGGATGGGAGGTTTGTCACATACTTACACTTGCAACTTGCAATAAAACAATGTTTTTTAGCCCACCCGCGATCATGTTCGCTTCGACTGACCCGATGCGATCCCAGCAAATTCATAGGTCCCTATCGTTCCCCAAAGTACTTAGTAGAATTCATTCGTTTGAGGAGGACGCAGAAAGTTATAGTTTTCGCACGAGCTTTATTATTTTTACAACTATTGGCGGTGCGAGAGCAGAGCCAATGCATATCGCTTAATTTTCCCTCAAAAGCTGTGTGGAGCCACAAATTCCTTAAAGGAAGACCTGAAGCCTATTTGTTGGAAAACCGTCTCCCACACAGATCGGAGCCAATTGGATAGATATTTTGATGAATGGTGCATGAACAATTGAAGTAGCAGTATTAAAAAGTGGTAATAACAACCACCTAATACAAAAAACGTGCAAAGGAAGCACTTTCATGTTTAGGCAACTTATTACACACTTGGCTTTCTCACTCTGGTCACTACTCTGGCGTATAGTTTCATCTATTCGGATAACGTTGAGAAAAACAGGTGAACCAAATCAAAGGAAGCAGCTGTTTCATAAAATGTTCTTTTCCATCTGGAGTAACTTTGGCTTAGTTACGTTTCCAGTTCCTCCATTAAAATATCATCAAGAATATTATCTAGAATTTTCACTCGTTTTCTGCTTTATTTGCACTTTTCTTTCATTCTTTCGTAAGCACTCTTTACGTTGAAGAATTCCTCAGAGTAGGTGGTGAACTAACAACAACTTCAAAGCTGCCGCATAGCTCCAATGAAAGCCTTAATACTGTGGGGTTGCAAGTTTTGAACTCTACAAAATGCTCAGCGCTCCATATTTTTAAAGGTTTCAGTAATGGAAAAATCTATCTATTTCATCTTTGTTAAAATTAATGTTCCTCCTAACGGTTTACCTCCTCATCGCGGCTAGGAGGTGTTCCTAGGTGTCGGTCTGCGGTCTACAACTGAGGGATTCATTCCCACAGCAGGGTCTCTGAGGTAGAGGAGTCCGGTTTTTCCATGAAGAAGCGTAGCTAAGAGGAAACCAATACCAGTATCGACCACCGTCCTGGCATCAAACTAGTCGCACGGTGGTAAATTTCCCTCTGGTTCACAAGAGCTGCGATGCCAGTGGTGATGAACCAAACAACTACAAATAATCGTACAATTTCGAAATTCTTTAGCTATTAACACTTACAAACACGAGGTTGATAAAAGGTCTTATTCTGCTAACATTTCAACTTTTCTGTCTATCTCAGATCATTTTATCAACCTCTTGTTCGCTTACTAATCCAAGAAGGTATTAACTACTAATACTGAGATTACATGATGAGCGGTTTATGAAATAACACTTGTATTTATAGATTCGTCTCAGAAGATGAAGCAAAAAAGATAATCGAAGGTCGTAAGGCGGTAACAGAGAAAGCTCCCGTACCGTATCGCCACTTATTGAGTGATTTATCGATTTGGACGAATTTCATGTTGTTCGTTGGCTACTATGTCGGGATGATTACCTACCAACAATACAGCCCGACATTTATTAAGCAGGTTAGGCTATAAGGCAGACTTTAAAGTAAATCGTTTTTTTTTGAGGGGTTGTCAACGAAAGATACCACCCCGAGAAGTCAAACTAACAACCGGTCGACAAGAAATTGACCCAAATTGAGATGAATGGAAGGTAGCTTGCACTTCCACGTAGGTGTGAGTGGGGGTGGGGGGATAGTGAGACGGTATGCTAATGGCACAGGTCGAGTAGGTGAAGCAAATAATGTCTTTATATAATAACACGGCTGAGAGACAGGACTCAGGCGAAACGAAAGACTCGGTTGGTACGGTGGTGAACGCGTAATCTCCCTGAAAAGGAGTTTTGCAAATATTCAGCAACATTATGGT